ATAGGGTGAGAGAATGATTCTATAGGGTATCTGGTCCTTCAGGTTTCTAATAGGGTGAGAGAATGATTCTATAGGGTATCTGGTCCTTCAGGTTTCTAATAGGGTGAGAGAATGATTCTATAGGGTATCTGGTCCTTCAGGTCTCTAATAGGGTGAGAGAATGATTCTATAGGGTATCTGGTCCTTCAGGTCTCTAATAGGGTGTGTAACATTGGTTGGGCTGAATATTAGCTGTTCTATGAGCCCTAATGCAGCCTGGTTAAAAGCCCTAGAATGAAACCACAGGTTTCCGTCCTTTTATGGTTTGATCATGAATATTTAGATGAGCTGTGCTCTGATTGGTTGGTTTACAACGAGCCAAGCTGCTGAGCATCATCATAGCAACAAGCACTCACTCACTGAACCATCATTGATATGGTAGGGGGACCAGACAGCCTCTTTTTCTCGGACATGTCCTACTTTTCAGACCTAAAAAAAAAATGTCCGAAGGGAATTTCAAAATCATCCGGGATTTTAGTCGACTGCAGTGCAGCAGGTAGTGGAAACAGCGAGATTTTGAAAGCGGTCTTCGGTAAAATGCTTCCAGCAAATGAACAGCTGAGCATCAAACTCTGCAGGGATCTTCTGGTAGAACAAAATAATCCATGCCTGTCGAGTCTTTGAATCCTTGGAAACAATGTGAAAATGTTCCCCTTCCTCCAGTCAGCCAGGAATGCTGCTCCCGTGGTTCTGACTCATTATAGAGAAACTTCCTGCTTTCTGATTCTTGTAGCAGTAAACCCAACTGTAGGCTAAACAGCTAAACTGCCTCTTCCATCTACCGTGAACCAGTGGGCTGGTCTGGATGTTAATTTGAGGGCGTTATAAAAGTACAGACCAGAACCACATAAAGCAACATCCCCAAGTTTACGTCAACTGGTTGATTTGTTTGGATTCACCTGTTTTATGGTGGAAGTTTAGAATAGTGAGATTAACAGATAAAGTAGGAATTGATGGTTTGAACTTCTCTGTACGTCTATTTCACCCTCTGAACTATCGTTATTCATCTATTACCATGGAAACTCTGCATCTATGAAACCTTTATGGCTTTTTTCCCCCTGATTCACAGAAAGTTCACTCTAACTCCTCATTATTAACTCACCTCTGCCTTATTAAACCTCATGTGGTTCCCCATGATGTGGAACTCGATGGCTCCGGGACCCCGGTAGCCTTTGACCCTGTGAGCGTTGAAGGGCAGCGGGTAGCCCAGCTGGTATCCCAGCGGCAGGGCGAAGCGGAGGTGGTGCTCGTCGCCGAAGCGGTACAGCATGTTGAGCACCGTGCTGCTGGCCGTCTTGTGGGTCTTGAGGAACATGATGTGGGTGTGGGGCTGACAGGATCCCAGAGACGGGCCCTGAGCGTCAGGGGACGAAAAGATGGAGCGTGCAGCAGGTTGGACGCTGCTGTAGGAAGGAAGAGTTTCGAGGATTGTTAAAGGAAAACAGCATTTTAAAAAGTTTTTCATGTCATGTTTTAAACAAGAAAGAGTTCATTGTCAGCCTGATTCAGCAAAACATATAAACAGAGAAAAAGCTGCAGCCAGTTCAGCTAAACAGGCGGAATTTCTCCCCAATAGAAGATTTATTCTGCCAAAAACCAAGAGCAGGCAAATATTTGTTTCTGCTCTCACACTGCAATAAATAAAAAACTAAATAAGGTATTTTTTCTTGAATTGGGGAGGAAAGTGAGAACGGGCGACGTATCGTTCTACCTCTGCTGCAGACCCGAGGCAGATTAATCTGTAGCTCAGATTACAGATTAACGAGCAGAAAAGATTGTTTACCTTTTGTTGAAGATGACTCCCAGCAGCTGACCAGCAAAGGCGATGGCCAGAAAAAGCAGCAGAGCTTTCCACATCCAAACTGGTCCCAGACGACCACAGAGCAGCCACCGCAGCATCCTGGGAGGAAGAGGAGGAAGACTGCTGAAGAAAGTGAGTGGATGGAGGAATCAGGAGATGCTCTGGTCTGCCTGCATCGCTGCATAGCTGCATGGCTGCATTTCTGCATGGCTCCATAACTGTAAGGCTGCATGAATCCATGGCTGCATGAATCCATGGCTGCATGAATCCATGGCTGCATGAATCCATGGCTCCATGGCTGCATGAATCCATGGCTGCATGGCTGCATGAATCCATGGCTGCATGAATCCATGGCTGCATGAATCCATGGCTCCATGGCTGCATGAATCCATGGCTCCATGAATCCATGGCTCCATGGCTGCATGAATCCATGGCTGCATGAATCCATGGCTGCATGAATCCATGGCTGCATGAATCCATGGCTCCATGGCTGCATGAATCCATGGCTGCATGGCTGCATGGCTGCATGA